ATGCTCTTATAAGACAACGATACACCCAAACATGCACTCTGACCACAGTCGACCTCCCAGTAACAGTGTCCAGACACGCTCTCTCTACACAACACCTGAACTACAGAATCAAATCTGTCCGGATGATCAGGATACAGCAGGCCTGTAAGAGTGCTAGTAACCGTCCTGTTCCCATCAGACAGACTGAGATTTTTATTAGTCATGTTTGAATCCATAGTGAACTGATGGAAATCTAAAAAAAAAAAATATAAGCAGATAATCTTTCATTATTTAAAAACACAATCTTGTTTTTATTAGGCATACCTTAAGATCAAAGGGTTTCAGAAATTCCTATTTGGAATTTAAGAGTTAAACTTACATCTCAAGTATTCCTCTCTGGTCTCAAAATCAGGGCCGAGAATGATCTGAACGTGTTTCACTAGGAAAACCACAAGGTCTCTGATGTTTAATTCTCATGTTGAGAGAAAAATATATTCTGAATCAGTGGTGTCAAGCATAATTCCTGAAGGGCCGGAGCCCAGCAGAGTTTTGTTCCAACCCTGCTCCAACACATACCATGTAGTTTTCAAATAAGCCTGAAGGACTTGATTAGTTGGATCAGGTGTGTTTAATTAGGGTTGAATCTAAACTCTGCCAGGCTCCGGCCCTCCAGGAATTGAGTTTGACACCTCTGTTCTAAACCATTAATGCTGAATGAACATCAATAAATAGATGAATGTCTGATAATTTACCTGTACCAGATATGTTTTCTATAGCCTCTCTGCAGTAATGATTTAGTTGGTCTCTGAGTTTAGAGACAGATTTACTGACATCATCAAAAGAGAGGACAGAACTGATGATGATTCTGGGTGATCTTGAAGATCCAGAGACAGAGAGGGACTGGAAACTCTACACAGACAAAAAGACAAACAACAGATGAAACAGAAATATTTCACCCAAAAAGGACAATTCCCTAGAGCTAAGGGGGTGCGATATCACAATTTTTGATCGTGGACGATTAAAATGTCTCCACGATCTGCATCTGCTTATGGTCTCGATATACTGTACAATGCCACATACATTCACATCAACTCAGCTGTTACACTCACGGGACACTGCACTTATTAGCAATCACAAAAGTACATTATTTGCATGTGCTTTAAAGCCTTGCCGGTTAAACGTTTCATTCGCGTGCTCTTCTGACTTGCGCTTTTTCTGAGCGCGTACACCTGAAGTGCGCGCACACCAAAAAGATAACTAAGTTATCTTTCGCGTCTGATTGCACTAATACTGTCAAAAACACACAAGGTTTATAAACACAGCTGGTTACGTCTAAAGTGAAAGTACACAGTCGAGAGAAAAACGGATGCAGATGCGTGCAGCTCTTAAAGTGACAGCAGACTAATAGGCTACTAAACATGCTGCCACTTGTCATTAAAGGGGTAGTTCACCCAAAAATGAAAATTCTGTCGTTATTTACTCACTCTCATGTTGTCCCAAACCTGTATTAATTTCTTTCTTGTGCTGAACACAAACAAAGATATTATGAAGAATGTGGGTAACCAAACAGTTGCTGGTCCCCATTGACTTTGATAGTGGGAAAAAAATGCTATGGAAGGCACTGCGGACCAGCAACTGTCTGGTTACCCACATTCTTCATAATAAATGTTATGTTCAACAGAAGAAAGAAGCTAATTAATGTTTAAAACAACTTGAGAGTGAGTAAATGATGACAGAATTTTCATTTTTTTTGGGTGAACTTTCCCTTTAATGTTAATAAAACATCAAAACACAAAGACAAAAATCACACTGCTCTTGACTGAAGAACTTTAATAGAGTTGCTTTAATAAGAATCAATGTATACTTTATACAGTGAAGTGTATATAGTGTTTTATTTTTATATTTGTTCATTCAATTTCTTGAATGCTCCTGCTAAATACACCTGCTGTAGCTGAGGAAAAAAAGCACTGTTTGTTTTATTTGTATATTATGTGTATTTGTAATGTGCATTTTTGTTCTTATTTTTTAATAACAAAGATAAAATAATGACAAAGATTTTTATCTTCGCCCACTTTGGCCTAAATATCTGCCATTCTTTTATATTTTATTACCTTGTAAGGCTTCGTTTTTAAAATAGGGAAATTAGTTTGGCTGTTATGCTCAGACAACTTGCAAAATAGTAAAACCAACATGACAAAGAATCGTGATAAAATTGTGAATCTTGATTTTCCTGAAAAAAATTGTGATATGATATTTTTGCCATATCTCCCACCCCTACCTATAGAGCACAGAGCTTTTCTTTTCTATATAACAACATAATTCATAATAAGAATGACTGTCATGACCCAAATCCAATTGGAGCAAATGGACGTGATCATCTGTGTCTGAAAGCTGCTCCAGTTCAGTCTTATTCCTCTTCAGATCAGCGATCTCCTGCTTCAGCCGCTCCAGTCGTTCTTCAGCTCGACTCACTGAAGCTCTGATCAGCTGGTATGTTCTCTGCATCTTCCTCAAATGACCCTGTCAGATAAACAAATGACCACAGAAACTTATGTAACAAAATAGAAATGATAACAACATCATTACGTAAATTACTGAATTTGAAATCAGTGTTATTTATTTATTTATTTTTGATTGAGTAGGTTGTAGCACCAAATATGGAAAGATGATCTTCAAAATCAAATTCCTACTCGGCTAACAGAGAACATTCTCACAAATATCATATAATGTTTTTCAAAAGTGATATAAATGTTAGGACAAAACGTTTGTAAGTAACGTTTATCGACCTTTTGATATTTTATATACAGTACGTTCTCATAATGTTGAGAGAAAACGTCCTTATGTTATTTGTACTGGATGAACATTCTTGGAAAAATTTTTGTAACCTTTAAAAAACATTGTAATTACATCAAGACATTTTAACATTCTTAGAAAACATTCAAATAGCGTTATATTTTGGATGAAAATAAAGTTAGTAGAATGTTGTACGAAACGTTTTTATAACCTTGAAAGGTGGGGTAAGCGATTTCTGGTAGAACAATGTTGACATTTGAAATCACCAAAAAAAACACGCCCCAAAAGAGACTCGCCCCTATTTTGATAGCTCCGCCCCACACATTCGTACGCAACCCAGACAACGATTAGTTCTGTGAAACAAAGCGAAACTAATGTTACACCGTGTCTACACCGGACGCGAGTGGCGCGGCGCGACAAAATACTATGGAACTCATTATAATCAGTGATGCTGTCTACACCATAGATATATATATACATATCTATGGTCTACACTGAATGCGGCGCGGCGTGGCATGACACGACAAATCCCCGACAGAAAACTGCTGCTGCGTTCTATTCATGACGTATTGACACAAATTTCTAATGATTTTCAACGGTCGCTTTGTCGCGTCCAGTGTACTAGACATACTTTAGCTGTTGTGGCGCAGACACGGTGTTACTCACCTATTGAGAAGAAACAAAGCAACCTCGGCGTCCGATCGCAGGCCTTCCGCTCCTTGAGTTCTCTCCAGCGCTGGAAAGCTGATCCGATATTTACACGGGTCCTACTTCTTGCCTTAAGCCTTCTTTTGTTCCGCAGACGTTGTCCTCTTTGGCTTTTTATCTGCCATCTCTATCTTTCTGTCGCTCGGCTCGGCTAATGTCTGTCCTGTGCACTGAACACTCTCCTCTGCATCATGAGTAGACACGCCCCTTACTGCTGATTGGCTACAACTTTGCTTTGCTAGTCGGCCCGAATCCGTTTTCTAAAGCGTTTTTGAAAAATCGCTTACCCCACCTTTAAATAATGTTATAATCACAAGAAGAAAATAGGACATTTCAACATTTTAGAAACATTTCAAAACAATGTTCTCACATAACTTAATTACCTGGGTAGTTTCCCTTCAATAGCAATGTATTACAGGCTGCTGTTTTGTTTACATGCAGTTCAATAAAGGGCCTCCTCAGGAATTTGGCAGTCAGATATTTCCTAATATTCCATTGTCAATGGCAACACTCATTCAGGGGTCCAGGAAGTGAAACAAGTATCTGACAACGTCCCACAGTACTACAAACCACACCTCTACAATTACACCCCCTACAAATGAAACAGTCAATTAGGAAATTTCATCAGAGCCCCTCCCTGAGAATCATATAGGGTCATATGGATTACAGGGATAGGCAACTTTATTCCTGGAGGGCTGCTGTCCTGCAGAGTTTAGCTCGATCCTCAATCATGCATACATGAAAAACCTAACAAAAGTCTAAAGGATTGCTTGAAAACTACAGGCAGGTGTGTTTGATTAGGGAAGGAACTAAACTCTGCAAGACAGTGGCCCTCCAGGACTGGAGCTGCCCAGCCCTGGATTACATCATATTTGTTTTAAAGCATCAACTTTGAGCGTCCAATCCACTTGCATTATATGGGCTCACAGAGATTGATTATTTTTCTAAAAATCTCATTTTGTGTGCCAAGGAAGAAAGAAAGAAAGTCATATACATCTGGGACGGCATGAGGGTGAAGAAATGATGAGGGAATATTCATTTTTGGGAGGAGTATCCCTTTATGGCAAAATTGTAAACAAATTTCATATTATGTTAAAGGGATCATTTACTCACCCTCCATTTTCAAACCTGAATGAGTTTCTTTCTTCTGATGAATAAAAAAAGATATGTTGAAGAATGTTGGTAACCAAACAGTTGATGTTACCCATTGACTTCCATAGTATGGGGAAAAAATACCGACATTCTTCAAAATATCATCTTTTGTGTTCAGCAGAAGAAAGAAGCTCATACAGGTTTGAAAGTGGAGGGCGAGTGAATTGTGACAGAATTTTTATTATCTGTTTAACATTCATATTTAGTTGGTGAGTCATCCTGTAAATGTAGCTTGAAAATGTAATAAGTTGACTATACATTATCCCTTATTTATAGTAGGGGATCTGGGCAAATAAACTTATTTAGCAATAAGTTTAATTTCAATGTCACTTCATACCTGCATCTTAGACTTTTCTTCTGCAGCTGATACAGTCTCATGGTTTCTGTGTTCATCCATCACACATAGAACACAAATAAATTGCTGGTCAGTGCGACAGAAAACCTCCAGAATCTTATCGTGTTTTTGGCAGATCATCTGCTTCAGTCGTCCAGTGGCATCGATCACTTTGTGTCGTTTATCAGAATGAAACTCCTCAAAATGAGTTTGACAGTAAGAGTTCAGACACACCAGACAGGACTTGACCGCTTTGTTTTTCCGTCCAGTACAGACGTCACACTTCACGTCTCCAGGTCCAGCAGGAACAGTATCTTGAGGTTCAGTCTTCTTCAGTTTCTCCACCATTTCAGCAATCATCACATTCTTGCCTAAATCGGGTCTCGGTGTGAAGGTCTTTCTGCACTGTGGACAGCTGTATGTTCTCCTCTGATCTTCCTGATTCCAGTGGCCTGTAATACAGCTCATGCAGTAACTGTGTCCACATGGGATGGTCACTGGATCCATAAGGAGATCCAGACACACTGGACAGATGAACTGGTCGTGAGCCACTGATATTCTGGCTTCTGCCATTTCACACACAAATAAAGCAATGACACGGAGAACAGCTTGGCTTCTATTTCGCTGAAGTGTTCTCAGTTTATACTGTACTTGTTTTATATTGCTCCTTGAGTTCTCTCCAGCGCTGGAAAGCTGATCCGATATTTACACGGGTCCTACTTCTTGCCTTAAGCCTTCTTTTGTTCCGCAGACGTTGTCCTCTTTGGCTTTTTATCTGCCATCTCTATCTTTCTGTCGCTCGGCTCGGCTAATGTCTGTCCTGTGCACTGAACACTCTCCTCTGCATCATGAGTAGACACGCCCCTTACTGCTGATTGGCTACAACTTTGCTTTGCTAGTCGGCCCGAATCCGTTTTCTAAAGCGTTTTTGAAAAATCGCTTACCCCACCTTTAAATAATGTTATAATCACAAGAAGAAAATAGGACATTTCAACATTTTAGAAACATTTCAAAACAATGTTCTCACATAACTTAATTACCTGGGTAGTTTCCCTTCAATAGCAATGTATTACAGGCTGCTGTTTTGTTTACATGCAGTTCAATAAAGGGCCTCCTCAGGAATTTGGCAGTCAGATATTTCCTAATATTCCATTGTCAATGGCAACACTCATTCAGGGGTCCAGGAAGTGAAACAAGTATCTGACAACGTCCCACAGTACTACAAACCACACCTCTACAATTACACCCCCTACAAATGAAACAGTCAATTAGGAAATTTCATCAGAGCCCCTCCCTGAGAATCATATAGGGTCATATGGATTACAGGGATAGGCAACTTTATTCCTGGAGGGCTGCTGTCCTGCAGAGTTTAGCTCGATCCTCAATCATGCATACATGAAAAACCTAACAAAAGTCTAAAGGATTGCTTGAAAACTACAGGCAGGTGTGTTTGATTAGGGAAGGAACTAAACTCTGCAAGACAGTGGCCCTCCAGGACTGGAGCTGCCCAGCCCTGGATTACATCATATTTGTTTTAAAGCATCAACTTTGAGCGTCCAATCCACTTGCATTATATGGGCTCACAGAGATTGATTATTTTTCTAAAAATCTCATTTTGTGTGCCAAGGAAGAAAGAAAGAAAGTCATATACATCTGGGACGGCATGAGGGTGAAGAAATGATGAGGGAATATTCATTTTTGGGAGGAGTATCCCTTTATGGCAAAATTGTAAACAAATTTCATATTATGTTAAAGGGATCATTTACTCACCCTCCATTTTCAAACCTGAATGAGTTTCTTTCTTCTGATGAATAAAAAAAGATATGTTGAAGAATGTTGGTAACCAAACAGTTGATGTTACCCATTGACTTCCATAGTATGGGGAAAAAATACCGACATTCTTCAAAATATCATCTTTTGTGTTCAGCAGAAGAAAGAAGCTCATACAGGTTTGAAAGTGGAGGGCGAGTGAATTGTGACAGAATTTTTATTATCTGTTTAACATTCATATTTAGTTGGTGAGTCATCCTGTAAATGTAGCTTGAAAATGTAATAAGTTGACTATACATTATCCCTTATTTATAGTAGGGGATCTGGGCAAATAAACTTATTTAGCAATAAGTTTAATTTCAATGTCACTTCATACCTGCATCTTAGACTTTTCTTCTGCAGCTGATACAGTCTCATGGTTTCTGTGTTCATCCATCACACATAGAACACAAATAAATTGCTGGTCAGTGCGACAGAAAACCTCCAGAATCTTATCGTGTTTTTGGCAGATCATCTGCTTCAGTCGTCCAGTGGCATCGATCACTTTGTGTCGTTTATCAGAATGAAACTCCTCAAAATGAGTCTGACAGTAAGAGTTCTGACACACCAGACAGGACTTGACCGCTTTGTTTTTCCGTCCAGTACAGACGTCACACTTCACATCTCCAGGTCCAGCAGGAACAGTATCTTGAGGTTCAGTCTTCTTCAGTTTCTCCACCATTTCAGCAATCATCACATTCTTGCCTAAATCGGGTCTCGGTGTGAAGGTCTTTCTGCACTGTGGACAGCTGTATGTTCTCCTCTGATCTTCCTGATTCCAGTGGCCTGTAATACAGCTCATGCAGTAACTGTGTCCACATGGGATGGTCACTGGATCCATAAGGAGATCCAGACACACTGGACAGATGAACTGGTCGTGAGCCACTGATATTCTGGCTTCTGCCATTTCACACACAAATAAAGCAATGACACGGAGAACAGCTTGGCTTCTATTTCGCTGAAGTGTTCTCAGTTTATACTGTACTTGTTTTATATTGTATGTTTGAGGAAACAGATTTTTTTCTGTAGGGTGTGACTTACTAGGCAGTTTTCAAAAATGTGGATATACGGGACCGTGTGATGGGTTAGTGAAAATACTGTAGTATGCATCAAACTTAACATACTAGGCATCATGTGCATGTCAGCGAGTATCTGAAGCATTTGACTCAAGTTCAGAAACAGGAGGCATGTGGTTGGATTAGATCCAAAGGAAAATAACAAATGACAGAATATAGATACAGTTGGTAAAGATGCATCACCTGTGGTACTAGCTTTAATGACCCTTACCAATACAATGTCAAGTTAATAATCTTTGTTCATGCATCAGATGGTTAAAAATGTATAATGTGTCATGTCGTGGATGTGTGTGTAACATGTCTACAGTGATCTCTAAATCATGTCTTTTTGGAAAGGCGCAGGTGAAAAAGGAGTGAAGGTGGAGCTAAACAAGCCGTCTGAACCAAGCTAATCAAATTATCATTAATCCAGAAAAGTCGTAAATGCAGCAGGTGTCCGTGACAAAGCAAGAATAAGGAGTAGAAAACTGAATTAACAGAGATGTAAAACTCTGCACAAATCAACTGCAGTTCCCAGAAAACCAGCTAATTTTAAATATGACTCTATTGGTTTAATTTTAGCTTTTTTTTTAAAGGTACAGTACTCTGTATTACATTTACATTAACGCTTCTCATGTGACTGAAGTGCTTCTGAGGAATGTTTAAAAAGCCTTTTGTTTTTGCTTCTGGCTCTGGGAAGAGTTCCTGCTGTTTGACCTGGGGCCTCATTTTTAAAATGTCGTGTAGAAACCGTCCTGCATTTGATCTGAGATCATTTCTCAAATGTGTTTACATGTGATTCACAGAAACAAACATATACGCGCAAAAAAAATGTGCGTACGCCTCTCTTCTATGTGAAATCTAAATATCGCAAATATCTTGAAATTGCACTCTAAAAAATGCTGGGTTGTTTCAACCCAACTTTGGGTCAAATATGGACTAACCCAACTTTTGGGTTAAAAATTTAATGTAAAAATGTAACCCAACGGTTGGGTTAGTCCATATTTGACCCAAAGTTGGGTTGAAACAACCCAGCATTTTTCAGAGTGTGTGCACAATTCATATTATATAATACAGCCAGGGCCAGCGAGGTAGTGGACTTTCGGCATGCTCATTCACTGTGAGCTGGTGCATGAATTGAATTATGTTTTTAAATTAAAATTTTGAAAGAAAATGGAGATCTGTCAAATTTTTTTCTGAATTCAGTCACATTTGTAGGTACACAAGCATTCTGGTTTTCTGATGTACTAAAATTCTAGTAATTTTAAAATGTTTAAACACCAAATGTTTATTGTCAACTTCCGGGATTGCTGCACTAATTGTTAAACTTGTTACACAGGTGTCCAGGAAAACATTAAGTTAAATGAGGAACAGCTACAAAAATTGTGCAACTGCGCCGCTTTGTGGTCACGATGGTAATGTCAACAGGTTCAACAGGTTATCTGGCTCTAAACCTCTCTTTTCTTTATTCAGAGTTGATCTAGACAAGTATATGGAAATTATCCAAAGTTCTGTCAATCCTAAAGCAGTGAAAACTGCATCTCTGTATTCACCCTGTGTCTTCTAAAGGTGTAAATTTATGACTTTTTTTAACCTGGCAACACATCCCTTATGAAAATTAACCATGATTTTAGTAGGCCTACTTAAAAAAAAAAAATAAAAAAAAAACCTTGGTTACTATCCACCTTATTTTTAAATTTTAAATTTTATAATTATGAACACATTGGACAGACGAACTGGTCGTGAGCCACTGATATTCTGGCTTCTGCCATTTCACACACATATAGAGCGACGACACGGATTATGAGAACAGTTTAGTTTCTATTTCTATACTGGAAGGTTAATATCTTCCTGATTGTTGAATTAGTCATATAGAATTGTAGGTAAAGGGAAAACCCTATATCTACAATTCTATATGACTAATTCAACAAGGCTAACAAAAGTGATGATGCGCCACAATTTAGAGTATTTATAACTAGTGTTATTTTAGTAGCATTGATATACTATATTAGTTTATTAATATTTTGAATATTTTATTTTTATATTTCCCATTTTCATTTAAAAATTTTTTTTTACGTTTTTTCTTTTATGTTTTTGACATTTAGCACTTCCAAGTTAAACTAAATGAACAATGAGAAATGTTGCCTTGGCAACTGGTTGAAATAAAACAAGTTTCAGTTATTTTATTTTAAGTAACAAAACATAATTTTTCATTAACATTTTTTTTTCTGATTTAATTAGTCATGCACCAGAGGGTTAAATGGTAAACGTATTTTTAGATGATGACAAAATGATATTGCTTAACAATAATTTGTAGAGTTGCACTACAAATTTTTGTTTTAAATTTGCTTTTAAATCAAGACAAAATAGAAGAAAACATTGCTGTAGATGTAAAGCAAGTCTGACAATAAACAAATTAAGCCAAAACAAAAACACAAACAATGAAGTCAAATTTACATGTAATTTAAAAATGAATGCAACTGTTGGTGTAAGATTATTATGTATATCTCTATATCTACATCACCTCTATATCTTCTTCTCTTTCTATCTCAAATAATCTACTTTACACAAAGGCGGACAGTAGTCTGCTGTAAAAGTACTTTTCAGATGTCTGTACTTTATCAGAGTGTTTTTCTTTAGAAAACTTTACTTCACAACATTCCAAAGCATAATATTGTACTTTTTACTGCACTACGTTTCATATTAAATATCATTTAATACTTAATTACATTAGAAATCTATTACTTTCTTACTTTTACTCAAGTAATAGTTATTCAAAGATTTACTTGAGTACAAGAAAGTACTACATTTTTAATGTTCTTAAGTATTAAAGGTAAAACAAACAGCAACTTTTATTTATGAAATCAAGTGCAGTAAAAAAGTATGACATTATGCTTTGGAATGAAGTGAAGTAAAGTTTTCCAAAGAAAAACACCCTGATAAACTACAGATACTTTTTAAATTTACTTGAGTAAAGTAAAAATACTTCACTACTGTCCACCTCTGACTTATATATATATATACACACACACACACACACAAGATATACAGGTGTACAGCACATATACATAATAATCTTACAGTTGCATTAATTTTAAATACATATCGAACCTTATAACAGCTAGTGTGCAAACACAAACACTGCTGCTATGGTCATGTCTCATCTCACCAGCAGGGGTCGCTGCTGAACTGCAGATAGTCAGTCTGAAAATGTTCAAATGACCTCATTCCTCTTCCCAGATAGAATTTTGGATTAGACTGTATTGAACAGAATGAGATGCACAGAAACTAATAAAAACGAACAAAAATAATTTCTTACAAATACATCAGTAATTTAAGAATTTATGCTAATATAGACTTTAATCAGGGTAGTGCCATATTTTATTTTGACAGGAATGTTAAATTGTTTTTTAACAACACAGGCTACTGTACTGATGGGATGCAGATGTTTTCAATATAGCGGCAACACGATATCAGTTGTTATGCATTGCAAACACATTGTTAATATTAAATATAATCATCAAATAATAACCTATATTATTGTGATTTAAGTCACTAGGTTAAGAAATTGAGAAAGTTGTCTGTATTTGCTTGCCTGTGAAGTTCAATCCAACACAGGCCGTGATTTGAGTGTAAGTCACTGATCACATCCACATTTATGTATCTATATTTTCTCCATTTTGATTACATAACAGCCATAGAAACCTTTGTGTAACAGCACGGAAGAATGCATGCCACCTGCATGCTGTGTTCTTCCTTTACAAGCTCCTGCATGTAAATAAGTAAAATATCTGTCACTGGAGGCTGAATAGTGTGTACAGTCATCTCTGAGTCACTTGTTTGGTTTATTTTTTTCAGAAAGGCCTACTTAGATCTGTTGCATAACAGCATTTTATGAAACCTCTCAAAGTGGAAACCCCAAATGATGGAGTGGATCTGGGGCTTTAGCTTCCAACCAAATGAAACATCAGCATGCAAACAAACAGCAAACATACTTCAGCAGATTGGTTCTACAGACAAAAGCAGCATGTTTTATTTATTTTTTTCCAACCTTTTAAGATTTTTCATGTACATCTCAGTATTTATGTATTCGCTTTGAATGGCTTGTCTTGTATATTGTTTTGTGTGTGTGTGTGTGTGCTCTTTAAGAAAAATATATCGATTTCAATGAACATTTGAGCAATTATTATTATTGCTATTAACACGTTTAATTTGTTCAGCAAAGGCACTTCTTCAAGCCAGATTAAAACCTCAACAATATTTATTTTTAGAATTGCCAGCAGAATCAAAAATCATTGCTAACACATTAATATTTAATATATCTACTATAGTTAAAGGAACACTCCACTATTTTTGAAAATAGGCTAATTTTCAGTTAAACAGTTGAGTTTTACCGTTTTCGAATCCATTCAGCCGATCTCCGGGTCTGGCGGTAGCACTTTTAGCTTAGCTTAGCATAGATCATTGAATCTGATTAGACCGTTAGCATCTCGCTCAAAAATGACCAAAGAGTTTCTATATTTTTCCTATTTAAAGGTCCCCATTGCTATAAAATATAGCATTCTGTGTAGAATTAAAATAGCTCCGATACATTTTGTGGTCTGCGCAGACTCCGTGCTATCGTGTCTCTGGACTGGAGCAGAGAGCTGGAAAATGAGCCTATTTTAAAAAATAGTGGAGTGTTCCTTTAAGTGCTTAAAATCACAATATAAATTATTTGACAGTATACTTACAATATCTGCTCTGAAACATAACAAACCTGTCAGTGACGTTTCAGAAGTCTGTTGAGAATCACTGATCACATCCAGCAGCTTCAGACAGCACTATTGATTTTCACTCTTCACAGTCAGAG